ATACTATAAACATGCAGTAACAAAACCAAAAGGGCGTTCTAGCTTCACCACCTGTCCGATCATGTAGGTCTTTTGACAGTGACCACGTGACCACAAAACATTGAGGGGAGAATGGATGGAACTTTTGTTTTCTAACTAATTTCATTATTTTGAGTTTAGTCTATGTAGAGCATTATCACAGTTTTCTTTTAAATTCTCGTAATCTTATTATAGTCGTTTTAGTAGTAGTGGAGCGAGTATTGTGTGGATTCACTGTCAACTGAAAAAGTATTTCACCATCCGATCAGTTATTTCAAATATGTATTCATACGGTATTATTTAGTACTGTTTTTCATGTCGATCTTGTTACTGTCTTTGTTTCTTAATTCTTTATTTGGACAATTTGAAATTGTTTGTATATTGCTCGTCTCAATCAAATACTAAAATAACTGTGTGTGATTTAGGATCTACTTTATGAAATTGACGCTTGCTTACCCTTAGATAAAGACCGAATTTTGCTCATTTGAGTATGTAATTTTGTGACATTTCCCCACATCTATTCTGTCATTCTTATATTGTTGAAAAGAAAAAAAGTTGCTTAAATCCGCGTCATTTGGACGCAGGTTTATAATTGTCTTATTAGCAATCATACCACATCTCCCTTTTTTATATTGTTCATTTTCAAGTATCAATTTTCATTCATTAAACAAGTATTTAAGATCTCTGATCATAACTTTTGGGGTTCGTCTAATTTCGAAAAATGGCAATGTGGTTTAGCAGATTGTAATTGATCATGTCTGAATTATTTTAGTGGTATTTTTTTCTATAAGATGTTAGTCATTTCGTGAAAAAGTATATAGCTATATCCCAAAACTAAATCTCACTTATATGTTATATCTCCATATATAAGCAATGCTGACTATGCGGTATGGGTTTTGCTCATTGTTGAAGGCCGTACGGTGACCTATAGTTGTTAACTTCTATATCATTTGGTCTCTGGTGGAGAGTTGTCTCATTGGCAATTATACCACATCTTCTTATTTTAAGTTGGGAATTCTGTCTGTACGTACGAATAGTATTATCCCGAAAAGCAGCTTTATAAAAATAAAAAAATGTGGTGTTATTGCCAATGAGACAACTCTATAAAAACTCAACAGCTATAAAAGGCCCCAAACTGACAAATGTAAATCAATTCAAACGAGAAACTAACGGCCTGATTTATGTACAAACTAATAAACGAAAAAACAAATATGATATACAGCAACAAACGACTGAATTACAGGCTCCTGACTTTGGGTAGGTACATATAGAATGTGACGGGGTTAAACATGTTTGCTGGCACCAAACCCCCTCTAACAGTTATGTAACAGTAAACCATAAGAACAAACTATAAAAATCTGTTCATCAGAACGATCATAGCACATTTTAATTCTCTTGTAGTGGCGGATAAGATATCAAACGTGTTTCATATTGGTAGGTTCCTTTTGTTGTTTTTGGATGAAAAAAAGAACGTTTTCTTGTCTTGTAATACAAAAGTATTAAATATAAGTGCACACATTTTTTTTCTAAAATCAGGTTTGTAGGTATGACATGATTGCTTTTTGAAAGAAGCCAAAATTAGGACCAGGGAGATTTATTCCAAAAAGGTAAAACTGCATAACATATATTAAACCAAGATTAAACTATATGCCAAACACAAATCCCTAAATTATTTTGCTCTAGAATTAAATGTATGTAAGTAAATGCATCTTGAACTATGGTATAATGACACTTTCGTGTCTTCAAATGGTAAAATATGTAAAAATGATAATCACTTTTTGAACTTTAAAGTTGAAATTAGTCAACCGCATGGGGTATAGTTCCTAAAAAGACTAAGTTAAACCGGAGAATTGTGGGTTACAATATAAACATTGAAACTGAACTAGATTTCATTAAAACAACTGTGCAAAATAACTATAATATTAATGCCTTGTTAAATGGAAAATCGAAGAATATCTGTCCTTGACATTGCAACTGATTTGTTGAAGTGATTGTTACATTTTATAATAAGACACGTTTTGTAACTATATTAAAGGTGCTATACAAAATATATAGTTGCTTTTTGAAAAGTAGCTCCAATTGATTGAGATATCGAATGTGTTTCCGTACGAAAAATTTATAAGGATGCATTTTCCATTATTTCTACCGTCTGTTTATTACAGTACTGCTAGAATAAAATATTTTGATAATGTTTCTATTGTCATTTCGTCTTGGGATCGTGAGGCCTGCCAACTGATAACTGACGTTTCTCAGCTAAGAAAAGACATATGGTATATACACATCCGTTCGCACGACATGTCTGGAATAACTTACATAAGCTACGCTCGCGACTAAAATTTTGCAACATTGTAATGTTTTGAGAGCATTTAAACATTAAGTTTTGCCCGAGGAAGAAGTGCCCTTAATGTTTATACTATTACTCAAAAAATCAATTGACCAAACCTGTGGGTATATTACAATCTGGTTTACTGAAACTTACAATAAATGTAATGTACTATTAAAATATGGCCAGTACCGAAACACAGTCTCCTGGGCAGATGATACCTTCAAGGAATGATAGTGCATATGAAGCAATACAGAACCGGTACAAGTTAAACACGTATAACACTGGTTTTAGTGTGCATGACAAATGTTCCTGGAATAATCTTCACAGGGAAAGCTCCAGTTCACACGTTTGGAATGCAAAACATTTTAAGCTTTTGACAGTATCAAAACAGAATAATAGAATCCGTCTTAAGGCCAACTTAGCTTGAAAGAAATGCAACCTTATGAGAGGGTGTGTATGGGGGTTTACAGAATAGAGAATAATGGGCAAAAAATATGAAGAATAGAGAAAAATGGACCAAAAAAATAAAGAATAGAGAAAAATGGACCAAAAAAATAAAGAATAGAGAAAAATAAGGTGCTAAAATATAAAGAATAGAGAATAATGGGCAAAAAGTATAAAAAATAGAGAAAAATGGCCTAAAAAATTAAAGAATACAGAAATAAAGGACCCCCCATCCAGACCCTCGTATAATTCTGCTACGGAGTATCTGTTTCTGATGACCACAGGTATCCTATTTGTCGCACTCAAATGTTCAATTTTTTTGTCAACGAGACTTCAAAACGGGATTTTAACCGTAACGAGTAAGAACTACGATATCGTATACTGCTGGTGAATGAAATCACACTTACACTTCGAGTAAGACCCAGTTTCAATATAAATAAGAAGATGTGTTATGAGTGTCAATGAGACAACTCTCCATCCAAGTCACAGTCGGGTTTTGTTTTTCTTAATTTAAATCTTCTGTGTAATGTACATATAGTGTTATGTTTTATTTTTATTTTTTTTAATTTGTCTTTTGTTTACTATTAGATGTGTTTACGTTTTTTTTCGTTTTTCTTTATTGTGTGTTTTTTTTTTCACTGCCCTTTCGTATCATCTTATTTTTCTCTGATACTTTTGTTTAATAAAAGGAAATGACATTGGATGTGATTCTTGTTAATATTCCCTTTTTTTAATTTCCATTTACTACCGACAAGATTTTATTATACAGGAATGAAAAAAATAAAAGATATTTCTAGACTTGTAATGTGTCTGTTTTGCCAAACTTTCAATTTAAACTTGCAAATATGATTTATAGATCAATGATTTATTCTAACGTTAATACATGGTTTAATTTTCGACATTCTTTTTCAATAACTATACTATTACATGAGTAAGCTTGTGTACATTTAGGTAGATAAACAAAACAAACTAAAAATTCAGAGATAAAACTAGGATAAATGCAGAATAAATGAAATGACATTTTTAGTTTAACTTGAATCAGGTGTTATCATTTTCCGTATTCATACAGGCTTTGGTAGACAAAAGAAAGTTGTGGCAGGCGGTAGTATCGGTTACCGGACGGTAGGGCTAAATTCTGTTATCACCAGGATAGAACTCAGATAACAGAATACATAGTATTTACTTCTATTATTTAAACATAATCAAATAAAATTGTTTAAATTTTTAAATCGCATCGAAATGCAACATTTTAGGCTCATAATTATAATGATTAAAAGAATGTTATGGTATCTATACGTTTGGGGGGCTAATCTCACTGTGAGCATATGCATAGCAAGGTACATGTTTAGTTGCTTTGTTCGGTAGCATTTGTTGTTTTTTTTTCAATTGGCCAAGTCTAAAATATCACAGATTAGAAAAAAATGTAGTAACTACTGTGTATTAAAAATCGGTATAAAAAAACTCATCAAAGATACCAGGCTTATAATTTTGTACGCCAGACGTGTGTTTTGTCTACAAAAGACTCATTAGGAATGCTTGACTAAAAATGGTTGAAAGGCAAAATAAAGTAAAAATTTGAAGGGCACTACCTGTTAAATTTTGGGATGCCTGCGCAACAAGCTTGTAGTTTCTCACGACATCTACTTTAGAAAAGATGCAGTGTTTAAAGCACAGAATATTTTTTTAAATACTCTAAAAGAAGAATTAGGCTCCTGATTAATTTCTTTTTGTTTCTCTCTTTGTGTCCCAATGTCGTTTACCTTTGTTGTTTCGTTTAGTTTTAAGTTTTAACACTGCCATTTTCTCTTTCGAAATAAGAAATAACAAAACACTCATACATTTTACGTCTTAAATTTTTCTTTACACAGAATATATTTTGAAAAAGTTATAGTACCGAAGCCAAAAAAGATTTAATTTGTGAAATCACCAACCTGCTGTGTTTTATCAGTGTAATAAATAGTATGAAAAAAATAAAGAAAATGACGAGTGTTTGAAATCTGAAAAATCACTTTTTATCTCAACATGTCATCAGCGGGTTTGGTTAGGATGAATGTGTGTTAAAACTGACAATCACCAGAGGTCAAACAAGGTAGCATTACTAACAGGGTGAAGATGGAATTTTTCCTGATATCCCATATACAGGTGAACATTGCCATTCGTGCGTTTAAAATACACTTCACGCAAAATATCCCTTTAATTTTACTTGTAATACCCCAATGAATGAATCAGAGAATAGAGATTTTCACTTTGGATTCCTCTATCAGGACTGTCTATGAAGGAAAGTGTCCATACCATCAACCAAAGGCCGAGTCGAGTTCAGATGTACTACGTAATATGAGAAAATCACAGGTAAAATATATAACATTATATAATAAGAGATTTCTTCAAGTGTCATTACAAAAGTGGAGAGGGCCGAATGTCAGACAGCTAAAAGTCATCAGGGTCGGTTGTTAATCGGTTGTTATTAATTACTCTTTCGTTAGGTCATTTATTGGCAAGATGTTTAAATGGGATTCAATATTCTCTGATATGACCTGACTTGTGACTGAAAATCGTTACATTATAAATGGCTTAGATTAATTTTCTGTTGACAGTTTGTAAGGTCCGCCACTTTTTGACAGCTACTGTAAAGATGGCCCCCAATTTGATCATGTGACTGAAAGCTTAAACAAAAATTGACTTCTCTTTCTAGAATGTAATGAATAAGTAAACAGCGAGAAATGGTTTCACATCTATAATGTCATTTGTCATTTCAGATCCATAACTGATAAATGATGGATGGTCATAGTACTTATTATACACAACCAATGTTCACTACAGACAATTATGGACCGCCTGGAACGTATCCTGTAAATCAGTCCTCTACTTGTGCCTACCAGAGACATAACCTTCAGGGACCTTATGGCGGACAGACAATGACTGTAGTTGATGAAGCTTTTCATAATGAATCTCAAAATGGCATAACACATCAATTACCATTAGTTGGAATGCAAAACATGCCACAGAGACATTCACAAGTGGCAAACACAACACCGGCTCATATGCAAAATGCACATCAACTAAACAGTTCGTCATTACAAGTGTCTAAGCCGCCACCGGCGCATTCTCAAAATGTTTCCACTACGGCTCCAACAGGTGTGAGCCAGACAGGAAGTAATAATCAGGATAATTTACAGTTTCCTTGGATGAAGACGACGAAGTCTCATGCTCATCAGTGGAAGGCACAGTGGCCAGGTAGGGAAAGCCTTTTTATATTAAATTTGAGTGTTTTTGATCTATCAACTACAGATGCTTTTTTATATTCTACGTCCATCATTTTTTTTATGTTGGTGATTTATTCCATTGACTCGACATTAACGTAATCAAATCTAATTACTGGAGTAACTTTTGCGTTTCTGGAAGATGAGTCTATTGTCCGCGTACAATTATTAATTGTACAAATTAATTTCAAATGACTTGTTATTTAGGCATTATAAATTTGTTGTCAAATGAAAATGAATTTATTTTTCTTGACTCGTGCACATTTATATTGTTTTTAATTATACCGAATAGTAATTTATTAGACGATAAATGGACTTTGATGGTATCGTTTATTTCTGTATCTAAGAGTTGTTCATTGCTTTCAGCATTCTGGAAATTAAAATTGATAAATAACTGGACTACTTGTTAGAATGCAATTACCTATAGTTATTACAAGTTAAAAATTGAATTAATGGTGCTAGATTATCTCTCAGTAATTGATCAAATACTAGTATAACTTGCTTGTGACTGGTTATGTTCGACAGATATTTAAGTTAGTTACAGTGTGGGTTGAAAGTTTTGACAAAGTTTTAAAGCCGTCTTTACTTCTGCATTCTATGCATGTAGATATCTTTTGCAAAGCTTTATTCCATGGATTGCGTTGGTGGTGTTTGAAGTACAAAGTTATAAAAAGTATCATTTTTAAGAAGAAGGATTAACATTATGGGTTTATGTAAACCTACAAATCCGACCAAGTGCTGGTGTCGTAAGCAAATAATATTGTTTATTTAATGTTGAATAATTGAAATCTTATAGTATTCAAGTCAAAATAATATTTGCTGTTATTTTATATATATATATACTTATTAATAGATGTTTTACTGTGTTTTTTAAAGGTGAATGTTAAAAAAAAATTTTGATTTAGTTTTTCTACGTTGGATGAATTTACAAAAGGTTGCTGAATTATATTATTTTCATATCATTCGAGTCTTATTCAACACTGTAAAGGTGGCTTCTTTTATTTCATTTCAAATATTTCAATGCTTGATTTTTTTTTCAATAATAGTATGTCGTTCATTTTATTCGTTTATGTTTTGTAATAGTAATTGAAATATATCTTAAAGTTGTAAATTCGTTTGATAATTCATGAAATATTTCCTTTTCTAACTTCTCTTTTTCCTTGTTTATTTTTATTGGGTTTTATTTCTTGTCTTGTGTTGCTTAGTGTTTGTTTTGGTTATGTTTTTGTTTTTTGTTGTTTTTTTTTTGTAATTCATTTTGATAAAAGATAATTGTCAAATTATGTGTTTCTATCTTAAAACATTACTACTTAAATTCCTAAAAGTTGAATCTTTTACTTCATAATACTCTAAAATAATAAGACACGTGGGAATGTAATTTTACAATATTCCGTAAAATAATTCGAATCAAAGTATGATTATTTCAAATATATAAGAGTTCATAATTGAAGATTAAAATGATTAGAAAAAAATTTGACTTCAGAGATGGATTTCCTATATGTATAAGAAAATGCCGTTGTAATTAGAAATTAAATTTTTGTATGAATTTTAGATAAGCTCATCTAAAAGGTTACGTAAATGAATAGTCATGAGTAATGATTTCAACAGTTGAAAGAAAACTAAAAGTGCATGTTTGTTCAAGATAATCCTGCTTTCGATGTATTCATAAATTTTACATACCCACCCTTGAAAGTTTATTATAAATCTTAAACAAATTTCTTCATCTCATGATATTCCCTAGTTATGTGGTAAGAATATTTTCCGCGTATTTTATCTACCAACCTTCATTATTTTGATGTTTATAGAGTTAAAACAAACATATTATTCACCCCAGTAAATGATTCATTTCTTATGATAAACATAGGATGAAAAGATGCAATTAGTTATATCTATATTTAATGTAGTATATTTTCCTATAATCCTAAAAAATAAAATTTCTATGTTCATGGAGAACAAGAAAAAGGCTGTTGTTTTGTATTTGACCGACATAATATATTGATATTGGAAGAAAATATTTTTCTATCTTAATTGGGAGATGATATGAGCAAAATTTTACTTTGTAGAAATGATACTGAAATTGCAATATATATCACACATTAATAAACAAGATATTTCTTTTGGGATAGTCCCTCAGGTATCTTCTGTCCCTTTTCATACTGTAAGAAAACCGAGCCATTCTTGATACTCATACGTAATAATTGATTTAGAACCATCTACTTTGCATATCGTTTAGATTTAAGTAGAAATATTTGTTACTTTTTTTAAGATAAAATATGTATTCTTATATTTGTATCAAACACTGCAGTAAAGAAATTTTTAGGACGAAAAATATTAGCTATATCAAAAAGAAATATTTAAATCAAATTTTTGTAACTTTTTTGTCTACCTCCTTAAATTAGGAGACGGCCATTTGATATTCAAAAGGGGACTGAGTTTTTTTTGTATCATAACGAAGAACGATTATTTATTAGCAATGTATGAGCAAATTCAGGCTTCATGAATATTGGTTTTCGTTTTTCGTTCACAACTGTTTCTTACATTTAGGGGGTCTGTATATTTATTTTCATTTTTCATGCGCAATTATTTCCAACAATTTGTGGATCTAGATTTTCGTTTTCATTTTTCATTCACAATTATGTTCACCATTTTGCTAGTCTTGATATTTGAAATCAATTTTATGCGCAATTATTTCAAACATTTTGTGGGTCTGGATGATTCATTTGATTTTTCATGCACAATTATTTCAAACATTTTGCTGATCTGGATATATATATATATATATTCATTTTTCATGAACAATTATTTCTAACATTTTGTGGGTCATGCACAACTGAATCAAACATTGTATTGATATTTATTATCAAGGTTCCTAAGGTAAGAATTGGTCAGTTACAATGTTAGGTCATTTATTTTCAAAATCATTCTGTTCCCAAAATATCAAATGTGTGTCAGCTTACAAAGGTATAAGTCTTACTTTAAAGCTTTTTTCGTAAAAGAAAACTATAAATAATGATGGATAAAATCTCCCCATAATACAAGGACTCACTAAAGCATATTCATTTTTAATTTAATTTTATTTTGTTTTATTGAAATTAGCTGTTTTAAAATTTTGGAAATTATTTTAAAAACAAAAATGTATCTCCCTTATACATAGCTCGGATTCCTGGAAATGCGCATCTGGTGCAGGAATAATTATACCTTAATGTTTCGCTCATTTTGGAAATCATGGGTTTTGGTTTCTTACCTTGATTTGTATCTTCTTAATGGATTTATAAGATTTGAACATCAGTAAACTACTGTTGTCTCTAACTTATTATCTTGCATTTGGTGAGATATAAACTGCAAGATTTAAGCTGACACTCTTCTAGATGTGACTTTGGAATTGTATGACGGGTATTGTACACAAAGCCGGAAATGCTTACCCTGTCGATGCACTTGGTATCATTCTGTTTGGAGCTCATGATATTCCTATTATTTTACTCACTCTGTATGTTTGTACCTCGAACGAGTTTCAACTGACGTCGCTATACTATCTTCATATATCAGTTAAAATATTTTGAGAATATTTTGCTTACTTAATATAGTGAACTTTAAAACAAACAGATTATCATTTTTGCTTCCCATAATTGTCATGTCAATAGAAATAAGAAGATGTGGTATGAGTGCCAATGAGACAACTCTCCATCCAAGTCACGATGTGTAAAAGTAAACAATTATAGGTCAAAGTACGGCCTTCAAAACTGTTTTCATTTGTTTGATAGTGGTTTGTAATATATGATTTCAGACTTTAAGATATTATCTAACTATTTCAAAATAAATGCGTATGCCTAGTAGAAGCGAAGGATGTGTTTGCTATTGATAGTTATACTTGTAACACAAGATTATTTACTAAATGCTTCTATTTCAACAATGTCAAAAAGTGAGGGAAAACTAAGGTACAAAAATATAGATGTACTCCATAACAAATAATGATTAATGGAACTGAAACATAATATATAATAATTACAAATAAGGAATAATTAAACATTAAAAATTATTTTGCAAAAGATTTCCAATTGTTTATTAATGTTTATTATTGTTCAAAGCTACAATTAATTGATTGTACTATGTGTTGTGTCATCAACCAATTAACTTGTCAGACGAGAGATTGGACGATCAAATCGTTGCATTCGACACGTGTTGAAAGCAAACTCATCAAAGATTCCAGTCTTATAATTTGTACGTCAGACGCGCGTTTCGTCTACGCAAGACTTATCAGTGGTGCGAATCAAAACAGGGAAGAGACCACATCAAATGAGTCGAAGAGCATTGAGAACCAAATATTTCATAAAAGTTGTGCAAAATACGGCTAATGCAATCTATGCCGTTCAGTATAACAACTTAAGTGTTTCGAATAATTGAAAAAAAAAAATGAAATAGTGCATTTAAACAATAGTCATGCTTCTCTCTTTCTGTTCTTTCTTGAAGAAGATGCATTTAAATCAGATGGAAAAAAAGCATGTATTGCTTATTTTCATTTCTTCATTTTTCCCAAATCTTAACAAGGGCAGGGAACTTTCCCAACTCAAAGAGCAATTGGAGTATAGAGACGAAAACGTCAAAAGACGAAACTATTAAATAAACGTCATAAATTTGGTCCCTCTATATGATCAATTTTTTGCAAAAAAATCGATAGCCAACTAGTCTAAGAAAGCATGTAGCATGATATTGGTGTCCTTTGCAACCATTCTAAAATAGGAAAATTAAGTAAACCTCATACAAAACTGGTGACATAAACAATTAATTGGAAAACGACCCCCGACATAGTTGGTCGGTCGAGGGGCATGCATTTTCCCAATGATAAAGGTTATAACATGTGTGTGTGAATTTGTATTATCGAACAATTTGCGTGTGTGTGGATTTATTTCATCGAACAATTCTAAGTAATATAATTATTATGGTATACATTGGCTAGTAATATTGGTATAAATTAGC